GGGGGTGGGGGCCGTGCAGGGAGAGGGAGTGGAGGTAGGCTGGGAGGGGAGGGGGGCGGAAGTGGGGAAGAGGTGGAGGGGGGCTGGGGGTTCTGCGCTGAGCCGGAGAGAGATGCGGACCCAGCCCACCCTCGCGGACTGTGCAGGGAGCTCCTTACAGGCCTGGTTTGCTTCGCGGTTTTGGCAGTGCTTTTTGCATTAGTTAGTAAGACCTAGCGGGTTTTCTTCCACCTGTTAATAAGGTGAATGAGATTGGTTCTCAAAAAGCTTGAACCGCCTTCCTTCTTGGAGTGAGGAGCCCGCCCTCCTGTCCTAGGCCTCCTCTAGAGTACTCCCAGACTCTGCCTCTCCTGTGCTGAGGATCTTTGTACCTGTGTTCGTGGGGGAATGTTGGTTGCTAGTTTTGTTTTTCCTGTTTTTGTTTGGCTTTGGCGTCAAGGTAATGCTGAGCTTGTGAAATAGTTGGTCGTTGCCTCCTCTTCTGTTTTCTAGCAGATGTTGTGTAAATTGGTGTTCATTTTTCTTTGAGGGACTTTTCCATAGAAACCTTATGGGCCTGGAAATTCCTGTATTTGAGTCACAAATTCAGTTTCTCTGCTTGTTACAGAACTATTCCTATTATCAGCTTCATCTTAGGTGGCTTGTAGTTGTCTGGGATTTTGTGAAACTGACTCATCTTGTTGTTGAATTTATGTGTATGGAGTTTGCGGTATTTCCTTATCGCTTATAATGTTTGTGTGGACTTCTTCCATCCCTGATACTGGTCATTTTTGTCTTCTCTTTGTTGGCCTTTCTAGAGGTTTATGAATTTTATTAATCTTTTCAGTGAGCCAGCTTTTGGTTGGATGGGTTTTTCTCCATTGGTTTACTGGTTTCAGATTTCATTGATTCTATCTTATCCTGTATTTTGTATTATGTTCTTCTTTCTGCTGCTTTGCGTTTGTTTTGCTCTTCTTTTCCTGATTATTGAGATGAAAATTTAGATTACTGATTTGAGGCCTTTTTCATATAATATACACATTTAGTGCTATAAATTTCCCTCTAAGCACAACTTTAGCTGCATCCACAAGTTTTGTTATGTTGTGTTTTCATTTCCATTCAGTCTAATGTGTTTTTTTTTAATTGTAGTCAGTTACAGTGTGTCAGTTTCTGGTGTACCCCATAATCAGTATGTTTTGGATTTCCTGTGACTTCCTCTTTGACCTATGGATTGTTCAGAAGTGTGTTTTTTCATTTTCATGTGTTTGGAGTTTTTCCTAGTTTGTTTATCTTCTTGATTCTGGTGTGATTCCACTATGTTCAGGGAACATACTCTGTATGATTAAGCTGCTTTAAATTTGCTGAGGTTTGTTTTATGGCCTAAGATCTGGCCTATGTTGGTGAGTGTTCCCAGTGCACTTGGAAGGAATATGTACTCTATCATTGACTGGAGTGTTATGTAAATGTCAGTTTGGTCGTGTTGACTTACGATACTCAGTTCTTTCATAGGTTGCTGATTTTTCTGTCTGGTGATTCTGTTAATTACCAGAAGGGTATTGAAACCCCTAACTGTAATTGTGGATTTGTCTGTTTCTCTTTTCACTTCATCTGGTTTGAAGCTGTGCTGTTTGGTGCATCCACGCTTAGGATTTTATGTCTTCTTGTTGGAGTGACCCACGTAGCATATGTAGTGTTCCTCCTTCTCCCTGGTAATTGTCTGTGGTGAGACATCTGCTTTATCTGATACTAGTGTAGCCACCCCAGTGTTCTTTTGTTTGGTGTTTGCAGGGCGTATCTTTATCCATCTGTTTACAATTTCATCTTTAACCCTACCTATATCATAATATTTGAAATGAGTTTCTTGTAGACTGAGTATACTGTAGATCATTTTTAGACACTCTGTCAGTTTCTGTCTTTTATAATGTATTTAGGCCATTTACATTTAATGTAAATATTAATGTAGCAGAGTGTAAGCATGCCATTTATTATTCTGGTTTTCCCTTTGTTTTTTCTTCGTTTCCCATTTCTCCTGTGGTATTTTTTAATATTCCATTTTGATTTATATATTATATTTCTGAGTATAGCTATTTGTATAACTTTTTTAGTGGTTGCTTTACAAATTACAGTATGTTTATGTGGTTTAACACAGTCTACTTGTGTGGACAGTGTACCACATAGGTGAATGTAGAAATTTTACAATTTAGATTTCATTATTCTCCTACTTTATAATTTAGTTGTCTAGACATTTCCTTTGTGTACCAAAGAACCACAGTAATGATACTTTTTTTTTTTACAGTCATCTGACATTTTAAATAGCTTGGGAGGAAACAGCCACATGTTTGCTTGTTTCATTATTCTTTCTGCATTTCTGATGTTCCAGGTTTCCTTTTTTTTTATCTTTCCTTAATGTTTGAAGATCTTTCTTTAGCAGTTATCTTAGGGCAGGTGTGTTGGTGACAGATTCTCTTAGTGTTTCCTCTTTGAGAATATCTTTATTTTACCTTTGGTCCTGAAGGCTGCTTTTGGTGGATATAGATTCCTGGGCTGAAAGTTCTTTTCTTTCAGCACTTGAAAGGTGTGACAGCACTTCCTTCAGGCTTCCATGGAATTGCTTTTCCTCTGGGTAACACCTTTCTCTCTGGTTGCTCTCAAGATTTTTCACTGTCTTTAATGTTTACAAGTTTGATTCTGATGTGTCAGTTTTTACCTTTATTCTGTTTGGGGTTTTCTCATCTTCTTGAATGTGTAGTTTACTGTGTTTTGCCCAATTTTGGAAGTTTTTGGCCATGATTTAATTTAAAAAATTTTAAATTTTAGCCATACTATCATTCTCTTCTTGTTGAAACTCTAATTGGAACTCCCCTGGGACCCCAAAGACATGAATGTTAGATTGGTTTTCCTTCCTGCACGGGCCCCTGAGGCTCTGTGTATAAAGGCTGTTTTCTCTCTGTGGTTCCGATAGGCGATAGGACAACTGTGTTTATCTTTGCATTTATTCTTTGAGTTTTTTACTCTGTCTTTTCCATTCTGTTATTGAACTGCTCCTGTGGTGTTTTCTTTGTTGGTTTCAGTTATTGTATTTTTCATTTCTGAAATTTCTATTTGTTTCTTCTTTAGGTTCTATTTTTTTGCCAAGAATTCTTATTTTCTCGTTTGTTTCAAGAGCATTCATAATTGCTCACTGACATATTTTTCTGTCAGTGGCTTTAAGATTCTTGGTGGACAGTTCTGATTTCTGTCGTCTCAGTGTTGGTGTCTGTTGATTATTTTCTCTCATTCAAACTGAGATTTTCCTATTCTGGGTCATTTTTGATTGGTCATTTTGATTGGGACTCTGCCTTCTGTGTGAATCTCGTTACTCAGTATGGGCACTGACTGGGTGCTGCCTTGGTGCTGAGGTGGTGGCCAGGCTCCTGTCACACACAGTCTCTGCAGGCGCCTGTGGACCAGGAAGATGGGGCACTACCTCATTACAGCAGCCCAGGGCGGCCATCAGGGTCCCCGCACACGGCCCCAGTGCTGGCCACTGTGCAAGGACGGGGGACAAGGTGCATTTTTTCCTTGGGGTTGGGCTGGAGTGGGGCCGAGGTTGTCAGGAGTCTTTCTGCGAGGCCACCCCCGTCCCTCTGACCCTGAGTGGCAGGCTCACCCTTACCTTCTGGTCAGTGTCCGTCGTGTTTCTGGGCTGCCAGCTTCTCTGGCATTCAGACCAGGATGTGTAGGCACGTTTTCTTGAGGTCCCCGGACAGTCGGCCTTCTGTCCCCACCCTTTAGAGTCACCTGGTGTTTGCTTCCTGTGTTGTCCAGGGTTTTTAGGTCTAATAAGTGGGGAGGAACAGGGTGAAATGTGTCTACTCTGTCTTGCCTGGAACTGGTAGCCCCCAAACCAGTTTCAAGTTTAATCAAGACGTGTTTTAAAAATAGATGTTCTTGGGAAGATATTGGTGTACGCAGACACAACTGTCTATTTGATGACAGGAACTTATTTTTGTAATGGCATTTGTTGGGCGGCTGCTTACTGGGTGTGCCATGTGGAGGCACGTGGTGACCGAGCACGCGGTGGGCCCCGACGTGTCATGGCATGTTGAGGGCAGGGTAACTCCCGATGGGTTTCAGGTTTAGATCCCTGCACCGGGGCTACATGGGCTGCGGGGCTGAGCAGTCAGGCATGGAAGCGGGAACTCCCCAGGAGGGCTTCCTGGGGAGAGGGCTTTGGAGGGAGAAGTACGGGGCCTGGGCAGGGTCTGGGCCTGAGATGTGTTGGAGGTCAGTGAGCTCAAACTTCTCGTGTGGTTCCCGCGCTTCGGTGTTGACACTCAGATTTGAAGTGAGGTGTGCTTGTGTTTGTGCCTTTTTCAGATTATGAGGCTGCTTTGTCTCACTTTTACTGCAGTAACTGATTTCCAAGGCAATAATGAAGTTAAAACCTCGTCATTTTCTGTTCTTAGCTGAACTTCAGTCATTATCTATTCCTGGAACTTACCAAGAAAAAATTACTCACCTAGGAAACTCCTTGATGAATTTAACAGGTCTGAGGTCTCTAGATCTGTCACGCAACTCCTTGGTTAGTCTAGAGGTAAGTTTTAGGTTTGTTTCTTAAAAGAAAATTCCTTGCTGTCAGTAGCAGTGGAGGGTACATTTATAGTAAGAATGCAGTGTGCTTTGCAGCTGTGCTTACAGTGCTTGTAAACTGTACGCTTCACAATGGTTACAATCGTTGTGCTGGTCTTCTTGTGTTTACCGTGAGCCGGATTTCTTAGGCATCACATTGCATTTTTGAACTCCTGGGACAACCAGAAGTCACGGCTCTGATGAAGGTGGTTGTATCTTTCATGGGAACAGGATAAGGCCTGGCAGACGATGTGGGGGTGTCACTCCTTATGCTTTATCAGCTGCCCTTTCTTCATCCACATGCACTGTGCTCCGGCCCTTGAATGGCTTGTGTGCCTGACACGGGAGGTGCTTGTCCTGGTGGGGTCAGAAGTTGCCCGTGGGCGGCGAGTGGGCACGTGTGGGAGGCGGCGGAGCCTTGGGAGAGAGGAGGGCAGGACGTGGCTGCCCTGGACTGCGATGCCTTCGGTCCGGTGTGAGCTCCCTCCCCCGGCAGAGCCCCCCTGGCCCATTTCCCGTCGGGCGTGTCACCGTGTGCGAACTGGGAACTCACGCTCCTCTTCTGTCCCAGGACGGCGCGGGCGGGGTCTCGTGCTGGTGTGAAGTGACCCGCCCTGGCGCCTGTCCCCGCAGGGCATCGAGCACCTGGTCGCGCTGCAGCGCCTCAGCCTCTACTACAACCGCATCTCCTCGCCTGCCGAGCTGTTCCGGCTCCGTGCGCTGCCCGCGCTCTCGGATGCAGACTTCCGGCTGAACCCCGTGGTGAAGAGCGAGCCCGGCTACCGCCTCTTCATGGTGCACCTGCTCCCAGGGCTCCGGCGGCTGGGTAGGGCTGGCTGCACGCACCCTCGTGGGGCTGCCTGGCGCTGCGCTCTGGACCTTCGGGAAAGGGAGGCTGATTTCCTCTTCTAGCAGGGGAGCTGCCTGGGGAGGGGGCTGGGGGCAAGCTCCCATGGGCCGACCCTAGCATTTCGGAGCTTTGAAGGAAGAGGATTGTGGTCGAGTGGAGTCTTCTCGGGCCCAGGGCACACACTGGACAGTTGAAAGTCTTGTTCTAGTCCTGCGGGTTTGAGGATGCAAACCTGCGTGTCAGCCCATGGCTGGGGGTCCTCTCTTGAGTGTGTTCAGGGTCCTCACCCGTGAACACTTGTCAGGGGTGCTCAGTGCGGTTTGGGAACCTCACACAGCCCTCAGGACGTGCACTCAGAGGACACGAGGAGGCCTTGCATGCGTGCGAATTTGCACGTTTTTCCTTTCCTGCTTCCAAGGGGCCTGAGGAGCGAGCCTGGTGTGGCCGCCCACCCTCTGGGAATCCGCGTTCATCATCTCTGGGAAACCAGGTGTAGCCTCCAGAGCCCAGCCTTGCTTTACCTGCTTGCCCAGTCCTCTGGGGGACGCGATGGCAGGCTCAGCCCCCAGGGGACGGAAGTCTTGGAGCAGGGGGTGACAGTCCTGTCACGCATTGTGCGGCCAGACAGGTGAGGGACACCTCACTCCCAAGGGGAGGCCGGTAGGTGCACCAGGAGGATTGGTTGTCGGGCCTGGCGCCCTCCTCATGGCCTTGTCTGCTAGTTTCTCTGTGGTATCTTCCCTCTAGATGACCGCCCTGTGAGGGAGAGCGAGCGGGAAGCATCCCAGCTGCATTTTGCTTCAGAGGAATCACTGGACTCAAAGCAGAGCTTCCCAACTGCTTTCAGAGTCGAAAGGTATGAACAGAAGTAGGGTTTGAACATTGAGAGGAGTGTCGAGGCTGAAGGAAAGATGTAAACTTCTTTCTGTGCCAAGTGCCCATCAGAGGGTAGACATGCGGGGGCAGAGGGAAGGAGAGGTGCCGGGTACCACTTGGGGCTCAAGGAGACTGCGGGACAGTCTCTCTCACTGTTGTCCACATTTTCCCTACGTTATTTTGCAGTATCAAAAATGTCTGTTAAAGCAACTCATGTAAGACACAGAGCACAAAAGGCTTCTCCCGAGTCCTGGCCCACTCCTCAGGGGCGGCTGCTTTCCCTTCTGTCATTGTTTCTGCTTCCGGGTTCTGTTTGAATGACTTTCTCATTTCCAAGCAGTGCAGACGCTTTGCCATTTCTGGATGTGAGGAGCCTCCTCTTCCCGTTCCCGGCCGTGGGGGCTTGCGCCCACCTGCTTCTCGCTGCCTCCCGGCTCCTGCATCTTATGTTTGACTTCATTTATTTATTTTTTAAATTTTATTTATTTTTCTTTTTTATTTCTTTTTTGGGGGAGAGGTAATTAGGTTTGTTTATTTATTTTTAGAGGAGGTACTGGGGATTGAACCCAGGACCTCGTGTATGCTAAGCACGCACCCTACCACTTGAGCTCTGCCCTCCCCCTATGTTTGATTTTAGATCGTCAGGGTTGGTGGTGTCTAACTGTGTTCTGAGCCATAAGAGTCCTCATGTGTATGGGTTGGTTCTAAAGCATACAAGGCAGTCAGCGGTGTGTACCTGGCTTATAATGTGCCAGGATTACGTACTCTTGGATGCCATTTGTTTTGTCTGAAGCTTTCAGTAGCTTTCATTTTCTTGCAGTTTATGGATGCCTTAGCTCATCCATAAATTCCTCTAATGTAGGGGTCAGCTGACTTTTTTGTCAAGGGCTGGAGAGTACATATTTTAGCTCTGTGGACAATAAGATCTGTGTTTCTGCTCCTCAGCCCTGCCTGTGTGACAGGGAAGCAGCCATAGGCAATACACCGGTGAATGACTGTGTTCCATCAGAGCTGTTCACACAAGCTGTGGGCTGGGTTTGAGCTGTAGTCCATACTGAGCCAGCTTCTGTTCTGATGGCTTGTGATCAGTTTCAGATCTCTGGGGTCTGTTCCCGCAGATACCTCCCCTGGCGCCCTCTTCCCTCACTTCCTTCTTTCAGACTAGGCTGATTTCGTGTAGAATTTTGTAGGGCTGATGGTGACAAAGTGCCACAGACATGGCTTAAAATAACAGACCCTTATCGTCTTCCAGTTAAAGCTGTAAGTCTGAAGTTAGGGTGTTGGCAGGGTTGCTCCCTTCTGGAGGCTCTGAGGGAGAATCCATCCACGACCCCAGCATCTCTGGTTTGCTCACAGTCTTGGTGCTCCTTGGCTGGTATGTGCGCCCCACTCTGGCTGTTTCACGGACCTCCCCAAACTGCACATCCATCCCTCTGTTCAAGTCTCCCCTCTGCAAGGACACCAGTCACACTGGATCAGGGCCCACCCTGACGACCTCGTCTTAACTCCTTTACCGCTGCAAAGACCCTATTTCCAAATAAGGTCATGTTCTGGGGTGTTGGGACTTGCGCATCTGTTTTAGGGGCCACAGTGTGACCCCTGTGCCTTGAATTCTGCAATCTTTCTGTGATCACTCATTAGTTCCAGGAGGTTTTGTTTGTTGGTTGGTTGTTTCTTGGGGATTTTCTATGTAGGTGATCAATCACGTCATCTGTGAACAAAGACAGTCTCGCGTCTTCCTTCCCAGCCTGTGTACCCAGTCTGTATTTCCTTTTCTTGTCTCGTTACGTGAGCTGGGACTTGGAGTAGGATGTTGCAAAGCACCCTTGCCTCATATCTGATCACATTGAGGAGTTTCCCTTCTGTGCCTGGCTTGCTGACCGCTTTTATCATGAGTGGGTGTTGCGTTTGTTAGATGCTTTTTCCGCATCTATTGATCTGGTCATATGACTTCTCTTCTTTAGCCTGTTGATGTGATGAATTACATTGATTTTTTTTTCCAAATGTTGAACCAGCCACACAGTCCTGGAATAAATCCCCCTTGGTCATGGTGCAGAGTCCTTTTTGTATGTCGTTGGGTTCAATTTGCTGATACTTTGTTGAGGATTTTTGCATCTGTGTTTACGGGAGGTACTGCTCTATAGTTTCCTTGTGTGATCTTTGCTGGTTCTGATCAGGGTAATGCTGACCTCTTGGAATGAGCTAGGGTGTATTCCCTCTGCTGCTGCTTCTGTCTTCTGGAAAAGATGGTAGAGAGTTGGTATAATTTCTTCCTTAAGTGTCTGATAGAATCTACCATTGAGCCCACCTGGACCTGGTATTTCAGGAGGCTGTTAACTTTTGACTCAATGTCTTTGATAAGCACAAGTCTGTTCAGATTATCTATTTCTCCTGGTGTGGGTTTTGGTAGATTGTTTCTTTCCAGGAATTGCTCCATTTCATTTGGGACATATTTGTATTCCTGTTATCCTCTCGATGCCCATGGGGTGCCTCTTCTTTCAATTTTGATATTAGTAATTTGTCTTTTTTTTTTTTGGTTCACCTGGCATAGAGGTTTTTCAATTTTATTGATCCTTTTTTCAAATAACGAACCTTGGAGTTTTTTGCTTTTTCTTTTTTGGTTTCCTGTTTGCGGGTTCACTGGTTTCTGCTCTGGTTTTTAGTGTTTGTTTTCTTCTTCCTACACTGGATCTGGTTTGTTTTCTCAGTTTCCTAAGGTAGAAGCTTAGACTGTCGATTTTAGATCTTACTGTTTTCTGATATTTACGTTCAGTGCTGTGAATCTCCCTCTGCACATTGCTTTTACTACATCCCACCCATTTTGATAAGGTGTATTTTCTTTTTCATTTAGTTGAACATATTTATTTTCGTAAATCACTTTTTTTTAAATTGAAGTACAGTTGATTTAAGATGTTGTGTTAGTTTCTGGTGTATAGCAAAGTGATTCAGTTTTATATATATATGTGTGTGTGTGTGTTCTTTTGCAAGTTCTCTTCCATTGTAGTTTATGACAAACTACTGAATATAGTTGCTGTGCTGTACACTAGGACCCTGTTACTGATCTATTTATCTAGTTTACGTGCAGTAGTGTGTATCTGCTAATCCCAGGCTCCTAATTTATCCCTCCCACCTACACTTTCCCCTTTGGTAACTGTAAGTCTATTTTCTGTGTCTGTGAGTCTGTTTCTGTTTTGTACATAAATTCATTTGTGTCCATTTTTTAGATTCCTTGTATAAGTCATACCATATGGTATTTTTCTTTCTTTCTGACTGACTTTGCTTAGTATGATAATCTCTAGGTGCATCCATGTTGCTGCAAATGGCATGATTTTATTCTTTTTTATGGCTGAGTAGTATTCCACCACAATTTGTTTGTCTAGTCATCTGTCGATGGACATTTAGGTTGCTTCTATGTCTTGACTATTGTAAATAGTGCTGCTGTGAACATTAAGGTACGTGTCTTTTTGAATTAGAGTTTTCATCTTTTCTGGATATATGCCCAAGAGTGGGATTGCTGGATCATAGGGTAGGTCTATTTTTAGTTTTTTAAGGAACCTCCAAACTGTTTTCCATAACAGCTACACCTGTATACATCCCCACCAACAGTGTAGGCGGGTTCCTTTCTCTCTGCACCTTCCCAAATATTTTTAAGTTCCTTTTGAGATTTCTTTGACTCGTGTGTCACTTGGAAATAAGCTGTCTAATCTCTGTGGGTTTTTTTTTTTGAGATTTCCCAGTTATCTTCCTGTTATTTATTTTACTACTAGTTTAATTCCACTGTGTCCTGAGAGCAAATATCACGTGACTTAAATTTGTGAAGGTGTGTCTTGTGGCCCAGCATGTGGTCTGTCTTGGTGAGTGTTCCAGGTGAGCTTGGGAAGCCTGTGTGCCCTGCTGCTGTTGGGTGAGGTTGCTGTGGATGTCCCTGCATCCAGTTGCTGGGTGGGGCGCTCAGCTGTGTCCTGGAAGGCAGGACCTCCCCCTGCTGGCCTGGCTGGCTCTGGTGGAGGCCGTTGAAGTGGCCCGGCCACTTCTCCTCGCCGTTTTGTCAGTTTCACACCATATAATGTGATGCTGTTTTGAGAGGTGCAGACATGTCAGGGACTGTCGTCGTCTCAGCGAACTGACCCCGCGGTCTACACAGGCCCCTCTTTATCCCGGATCGTGCTCCTTGCTCGGGAGTCAGCTCTTCTGAGAGCAGTGCGGCGTCCGCTTGCTTTTGATTACTGTCAGCTTCTGTCTGCTTACCTTTAATCCACATGTCTTTATGTTTAAAGTAGGTTTCTTTGGGTTTGAATCTTGTCCACGCTGACAGCCTCCTTCAGTTGGTGCGTTTGGACCAGTGATTCTCATGTGGGTTGTCGGTCAGTTGGGTTAGTGGCCGCCGTGCTCGTCACTGTTTCTGCACGTCGCCTTGCTCTTTGTCTCCGTTCTTGCTCCTGCTCGCTTTCTCCCTTTACGGTTTTAAGTGAGCGTTGCACGGTCCCGTTTCCTCTCCTTTCGTAGCACGCCAGGCATCCTCACAGTCTCACTCTTCTCGGCGGCTGCTCTGGAGCCCGCGGTCCAGGCAGCTGCGCTCTGCTGAGTTTTGCTTACTGGGCTTCCCGGGATGGCGTGCTCGCAGATGGAAGGGGTGCGGTAGCTGTGCGTCGAGCAAGTCTGTTGGCACCATTTTTCTGGCACCACATCGTGTCTCTGTCACATTTTTGTAATTCTCACGATATTGCACACTTTTTCATTACGCTTGTCATGGTGATCTCTGGTAGCGAACTCTGATGTTGCTACTACAGCTTGCTGAAGGCTCAGGTGATGGTTAGCATTTTTTAGCAATAAGGTATTTCTTAAGACATGTTCATTGTTTTTTGGCATAAGCGATTGCACACTTAACAGATGGCAGTGTAGTGTGAACGTAACTTCTGTGTGCACCAGGAAGGCGGACGACCGTGTGGCCCACGTGCTCGCAGTACTCGCTTTACTGAAGTCGTCTGGAGCTGGACGTGCAGTGTCTTTGAGGCCTGCCTGTTGCAGTCACGAGACCCAAGACCACTTTCACACCCCGCCCCGCCTCAGAAGGAGCAGGTGCCTCGAGATCACAGAAGACTCCCAAGTCCTCCCCGCCCGCTTCTCTGGGGCCCACGCTGCAATCCTGCGAGTAACACGTGAAGTTACGTGGCCGAGTACGTGTGGTCATTTCAGACAAACTGGTATCTGCCAGGTGGATTAGGAAGGGGAAAAGTGGAGGTTTATCCACCTTCACTCAGTCCTAGAGGCTCTTCCTGCCCTGTCGGTCAGAGTTTCTGACCTCTCTCGGTCTCCTCCCTGAAGAACTTCTTTTACACCTCTTACAAGGCAGGACTGCTGGCCACAAATTCCCTCAGTTTTTGATTATCTGAGAAGGTCTTCATTTCTCCTTCACTTTTGAAGGATAATTTTCAGGTACAGAATTCTAGGTTAGGTGTTTTTTTTTTTTTTTTTGGTCTCAACACTAAATATTTCACTCCATTCTTTTACTGCTCGCATGGTTTCCAAGGAGAAGGTAGATGCAAGTCTTACTCCCTATAGTAATGAGTCTTTCTGATTCATTTCAAGATTTTTTCCTTTGTCTCAGATTTTCTCCAGTTTGAATATATTCCTTGGTGATTTGGGGGCATTAATTCTGCCGCCGTTCTCTGAGCTTCCTGGTTCTGTGATTTGGGGTCTGACATTAATTTGAGTAAATTTCAAGTCTTCTTCAAATTTTTTTTTGGTTCCTCTCCCTTTTCTCCTTCTGTGTCCTCATTATGTGTGTGAGACACCTTTTGTATGCCCCATGATTCGTGGGCATTCTATGCTGGGTCCTTTTTCCCCAGTCCTTTTTTCCTTCGCTTTTCAGTTTTAGAAGTTTCTGTTGATAAATTCTCAAGTTCAGAGATGATTTCCTCAGCTGTGTCCAGTCCACTAGTAAGTCCATCAAAAGCGTTCTTCATTTCTGTTACAGTGTTTTTGACTCTAATGCTTCTTTTTGGTTCTTAGAATTTCAGTCTCTCTGCTTATATTCCCCATCTGTTCTTTCATTTTTTCCCAGTAGATCTCAGCATTATTGCTCAGAGTTGCTTCAAAGCCAGGTCGGATTCAGTCCAACATTTTTGCCATATCCGAGTCTGGTTCTAAGTTTACTCGTCTTCAAGGTTGTTTTGGCTATTTGGAGTTCATTGAGATTCCACATGCATTTTAGGGTGGGTTTTTCTATTTCTGTAAAAACGTCATTGAGGTTTCGATAGGATTGCACTGACTCTGTAGATGGCTTTGAGTGGTGTGGGCATTTAAGAGTGTTCGTCTTCCAGTCCATGAACGAGGATGTGTTTACATTTATTAACATCTCCTTTAATTTCTTTCATCAACATTGTGTAGTTTACCTATCCTTGATAATCTCAAGACTGGACGGTCACGGAGTGTCATGATCTGGCGCAGCGTCCTTATCACCCAGGGTGGCTGCGGAAAGCCAAGTCCCAAGTCCCCTTCTTTCTGCAGGGCATCTGGAGGACTTTCCTAGCAGAAAGTGGGGAATGTTTCAGACCTCTCAAAGTCAGACCAGGTGCCACAGGATCAGTACTCGTAGTACGTGGTTGAGTGCTGTTTTGAAGAGTGACTTCTCACGCTGCCCTGTTGGAAGTGAGGTCCCTCTGAGTGTGTTCGCCTTTCACGGAGGGACGTCCTGTTCTAAGATGCTCACCGTTCAGTTGGTTGGGAAGTGCTTTCACTTAATGCAGAAGCAGGAATCGGGGGCTCCACACCGGGGGCCCTCTGGATCACACACGTCGCCTTGCTGGTGCGCGGGGGGGATGGGGCAGCAGGGGATGGCCAGGCGGAGCCTTCTAGAACCTCTGTCCTTGAGCAAGCCCCAGTGGCCCCTGCCCGTGCCGGCCTGGTGTGGGGACGCGAGACCTTGCTGCCCATCCCGTGGTCCTGGCTGAGTCTGCTCGGCCTCCTTGCAGCAGACGCCTCAGCGCTACCGCCCGGAGACCTTGTGGCCCTGCTGGCGGCAGCAGCTCCCTCGTGGGGTCGCATGGGCTGCCGCTCCGGCACTGTCTTTGCCTGTCTTTGCAGACCGCGCCACTCCAGAGCCACGTGCGCCGACCCCTCGGCCGGGAAGTGCTTGGTCATGGATGCGGACGACGAGGCGGTCCTGAACCTCATTGCCGAGTGTGAGTGGGACCTGGGCAACCCTCCCGGGAGCACGAGCTCCAGCCAGAAGGAGCGAGAGGTCAGCTTCCAGGGCTCCCAAGGTAGGCTGCTGCTCCACGGAGAAGGTCGGCGCGGCCGGCCTGCCCCAGATGTCAGTATCCGCCAGCTTGAGGATGCATGGTGGCATCGAAAACTGACCTTTCGTGTAGCCTCTCCCTGCGGTCTTGGTGCCCCAGGAACTACCAGTGACTTGGGTCACAGGTTGTAAGCGGAGAAGTCAGTGTATCTGAGGCGGGCCGTCATGCTGCATGGCAGCCCCAGTCATAGTCACAGACGGTGAGGAAATACATCCTGTGCCCGGGGGCTGAGCCCCCGCTGGCCGCAGGCAGCCCCTCCCAGCTACTGCTGCGCATGGGACTCAGACCCAACTGGGCCGCGGGCCTGAGCTCCATGCCCTTCGCTGGGGGCTCTTTTCCCAGGACTTGTGTGTGAAAGTCAGCCCTGTGGCTGCCGCCGGCTTCCTGAGAGCTTTCCCTGAAGACGCAGCAGGCTGAGTCCTCCCAGCTACAGGGTCACCTCTGCCCACCGGGACCCTGCTGCTCGTGGGACCGTCGGTCTTCCTCCCGCCGGCTCCTGTCCTGGGGGGTGCGGCGATCGTGGTGGTTCAAAGTGGCATTTCCTGAAGGCGGGTGATGACTACCTCCTCATGTGCCCACGTCTCTCCCGCAGTTTCTCTCCATGGCCGTCCCTCCGCGTCTTCTCTTCCGCGTCTTCCTGGAGTTGAGTCACACGAGCTCTTCCTGGTGATTGAACTCGAGCCCTTTCTCAGAATTAGTACTGCAGGGTGTCTCCGTTCCCGCTTGCCTTCCACTTTCCTAACAGTGCTGCGGAGAGAAGGCTTTTGAAGTCAGGGCACCATTCTCTCTCTGGCGGTGCATGCTGCGTGCTGCTGCCTTTGCTCAGGGGCAGGTCGACGTCCTGCAGCTCAGTGCTCAGGCCTGAGCTCCGTCCTGGAGTGAGCTCGTGGATATGCTGCGAGCGTGCGGGTGAAGGTGTCCGTCCCCCATGTGTACCCGGTCGTGCCAGGGCCATTTACTGGAAAGATGGTCTTTTTCTCCCTTAATCACCTTGGCACGCTAGTTAATCCAGTTGGCCACAGTCCCTTTCTGCATTCTGTTGGCCGTAGCGTCTGCCTTGGTGCCCTGCTGAACGGCTGCTCCTGAGTCGGGCTAGGTCCCTCTCCCCGGGCCGCTGCGGGTTCAGTCGGGACGGCTGGTGCTGTCACTCACCCAGCCGTCTCCCTGCTTACCCGATGTAAGGAACACATTTAACAGGTATCATTTACTGTCAGAAACCCAAAAGGTAGTTTTTAATGGAATAACATTTTAAAAATGTTTTCAATGTAGTAGAGTCACGGCGTCCGCTGAGCCCGCTGTCGGCGCAGCACCAGTGTGGGGACTCCCGGAGGAAGGGCCGCGGGAAGACGAGCGGCGCCAGGGGCGTGTGTGCGGAGCTGCAGCTTCAGGACCCACGCTGTGGCGAGCCCCCTGCGCAGCCCTTCCCGCCTCGCCCCGGTGAGCACCTCATGTCTGCCGACGCTGTGACGCTCTCCCCACTCCTGATCGTGGGTGGGTGGGTGTGCAACTCTCAGACGTCTCCACGTCCAGCTCCCTGGTCTGGAGGTGCTTCGGTGCTTTCCCGACACGCTCTCACTCACACACGTGTTTTCTTTTCAGTGCACACGTGGGCCAGGTTACCATGGCAGCTACATTTTAGAAATTAAAAACAAGGGAGATTAGAGGGAGGGTGTAGCTCAGTGGTAGAGCACATGCCTAGTATGCATGAGGTCCTGGGTTCAATCCTCAGTACCTCTGTTAAAAAACTAATTAATAAACCTAATTACCTCCCCCTGCCAAAAAAACAAAAACAAGAGATGTAACACATCACTTCTACTCACAAAAACAAGAAAGAAAAAAAACAAGGGAAGTTAAATGAGAAGTTCATCACAAGCCCTCGTGGCCCCAGGTTTGCTGGGAAGCCCTGTAGGTGGCCGTGCTCACGGAGAGCCTGAGGGGCTGGGGCGGGACACAGGCTGAGTCTTGAAGAGAGGCCCGGCTCGGGGACAGCCTTGTGGGGCGGATCTCAGACTCTGGTGCCTGCACGGTCCGCGTGTAGGACGGTCCCAGAGCTCCGGCTGAGGGGCTTCAACAGGACCTGCCGGGGTGGGGGGGACGGCCCTGGTTCTTGGGGTCCTGGGGAGGCGGTTCAGCACCTGGGGGAGGGAGGGTCTTTAGTCTCCTGTAGAAACAAGCTTCTAAGTTGACTGCAGTTTGCAAATTTAAAGTTGTTCACTTGGCCCATCTTTGTTTTACATACTTTTGGCCAGAAAACATAGTGATTGGTCAACTTGTTTGTTGGTTATTGCTTCAGTCTTGTCACCTTTTGATGGATTTTCCATATTTGTGCATAGGTGTCCACACACACACACTCGCCGGCACCCGTACACACGTCTACAGTCACGCGCATCAGTGCACGCACGCACGCAGCTGTTGCTGAAGTTGCAATGCTGGTCCCTGAGCCCAGAGAGCCTGGCGGTGAGGGCGCCGCCCCTTCTTTGTTACAGACTCCGTGGACGACGACGACCCAGCCCTTTCTCAAAAGTCAAGTTTGTCGACACAGAAGGTGTTAAATCCATTGCCTGCTGCCGAAAAGCACAGGAAGCGAAGAATGCCTGGTGGGAGGTTCCAGGCACCTGCGGACCAGGAGTGTCTGAGCTGCCTGGAGGCACCCGACGGGCCCTCGAGCCTTGAGAGTCTGAGCAGGAGGAATGGTTCCGAGGCGTGGAGCAAGGGGACCTTCTCTCACCCAGTGGCGTTGGAGCCCGGGCAGCAGGGGCCCCCCAGCGCAAGTGGCTCTGGAGAGGTGAGCCGAGGTGTGAAGGTGGAGGGGCCGCTGTCCTTGGTAACGCCACGGCGTCTGTCCACGGTGTCCACCGTGGCCCCGAGACGCGTGCAGCCTTTAGACAGCGCTCGCTAGTTTGTGCCTCCCTGTTTCGTTGCAAGTGTGCTCCAGTGCCACCAAGTGCCTTGAGGGGGGGGTGTCGTCACAGAGGGGTGCTTGCTTGCACAGCGTCCTCAGCCAGTCACCTGTGGCCCTGTTGTGAGCCACCCACAGGGGTTGTGGCCAGTGGCTCCGTGGCCCTGTTGCTGGCAGAGTGGGAGACTGAGAGCCTGTCACGGCTGTGGGCGTGAGTGAAGACCACCTGGTGGACTGGCAGCGGCCAGGCGCCCCTGCCAGACCCCGAGCTTGCGGGGAGGGGGGCGTCCTGCCAGGTCACCCGTTTGGCAGAGACACCAGCGGGCAGAGGAGCGGGAGCGGGACCCCGCCGAGAGGGGCGAAGTACCCTGACAGGGCTGTGGCCTGGGGAGGACGGGGGTACAGTGAGGTTGGTGAGGGTGGCTCTGAAGTTGGGCCGGAGCTGGAGTTGGAGAAGAACCCGGGCCGTGGCAGGCACGGGTCCAGCCCTGGCTGCTAGTTGTAGGCGGTGTGTGGCTGCTGGGCCGGCCGCTGTGGGCCGTGGGGCAGGTTCCACTTTAATTTAATGACTAGTCTGGCCGGCAGTCATCCATTGGCATCTTCGGTCTCATAATTGAGGGGAGGAGGGAAACAGGGATTGCCTGAGTCGGGCAGGTGCTCGGGCCTTTCCTGTCCCATCACCCTGTCCCTGGATGGATGCTGCCCCATGCGGGGCTTTGCCTGGTGGACTGGTCCTGCTGTGGGGTTGGGATTTTGCAGGTGGGGGTGTTGCCTGGGGCACCCACTCCGTGTGCTGTGAGCTGGTGGTGATCGTCCCCTTGAAGAGGGCAGGTCGCATTGCTCAGGTGGAGGGCAGAGGCTGTGGCTGTACCGGGGAGCGGGGTCCAGCCTGGGGGCCTTGGCTCTGCCTCCTGCACCCAAGACTAAGCGTCCAGGTGCAGCTCCTGATGGGGGAGCTCGCACAGATACTCGCTGGGGTGCTCTCAGCCTCAGTCTTCTAGGGCCAGCAGCCAGGCCTTTGCGTTACCATGCCGACTTGCTCCCTGGGCGACCCTGGGCAGAGCAGTGCCCCGTCGTGGGCCTGTATTCCTCATGCTCACGGTGCTCCTGTGGGTGGCAGGGATGGTGGGGGTAGGGGCCATCCCAGCTCGGGCGCAGGTGGCTCCCACACTCCCTGCAGGGTGTCACTGCTGTTGCACACGCTATCTGGGAGAAGAGCCCTTTATCTGTCCAATGGTGGTGAGGGACACCAGGCTGTGCAGGGGGCTTCGTCCCCAGCACTGGCATCACTGGCGTTTCCTCCATCCCTCACTCCCTTCCCAAACCGCAGCTTCTAGGAAGTGTTCCCAGGACACTGGGAAGTGGGCGGGAGAGCGGGAACTGTTGCCCTTCTGAGGTAATTCCTTAAACATGGTAAATAATTTCTAAAGGGAGGAAAAGTGAGCATTGACCTGAGCGCTGGCAGCTCTGGGCCCCGGCGTGGAGCCATGACGGTCCTGCCCGCGTCCCTGAGCCCTACCACCCTGGCCACCCTCCCTCTGGCCCTGTGTGAGGATCTGTCACATTCGGGGCCTTCTGGGCGTGAGTGGCCTTTCAGACGAGGACTAGCTCCACGAGGCCTCTGTTCTCCTGGAATTGGTGTTGGCTGGTTCTGGAAGGCCTGGGAAAGCTGCGCTGGAACCACTGGTTTCGTGGCTGTTGGACTCAGGTGACGGGTCAGCCATACCTCCTGGGTAGGACATCGTCTGCAGGTTGAGGCGTGTGGACAGCCTGTCACGTGTGGGTGGTGGACGGAGCATCAGCAGGATGCACATGCGGGCGGCGTCAAGTCTTGTGTACGTCAAGCTCCGGTGGTGGGAGCATAAAGCCAGGCTGTGGTTTGTCCCATGTAGGTGTGTCCTAGGCGGCACTTGGCCGCACCGCCCGGGATGAAGCCCACCCTGGAGGTACTGGCCCTGGAAGCCCTCCTCGACCTGGTGGACCGATACTGGAGTGGCTGCAGGTCCCTGCACAGCAACGAGGTGTTCCTTGGTGAGTGGGGGGCCTTCGGCCCAGTGCTCTGCGGGCAGGTGCTGGACACTCACTGGTGTCACTGCCTCTCTGTGCTGCAGGGAGCATCCTGATGGTCCTCGCAGTGGTGGGGCTCTTGGGGTGGGGACGGACAGACACGGGGCCTCTACGGGACCTGTGGCTGCTTCCCACCTGCTGGCCACCGGCCTTCCCAGAGGCGCCTTGTCGACGGGGGTGTTGGCGCAGCTCTTCACGGGTGTCTGCCTCCCCTTGCTCCGTGTTTACCCGGGGACTTGGAGAGGTTAGACAGCGGCGGCTGTGCTCTCGGATCCTCTGAGCACTTGGCGGACTGAGGGCAGGGCCCCGATGTGCTGAGCTTTTGGTGGGAATGAGCTGAGGCCCAGGAGGGTGGTCCCTCCCCAGCAAGGACTCGGGGTTGCTTCCGCCCAGTGCCTGGGTGCAGGCACGCTGGGTACCCGCCTCCAGAGTCGGGAGGTGCTGCATCCCTGGGGCCACCTGTTTCTCTGCAGCCTGAATGCAACCTTGCATGTCCCGGGGGAGCAGGTACCTGCCAGCTTAGCCACACCAGGGGCTCCTGAGCCTCCACTCAGAGTTGTGGCCCCTCAGCTTCTCCTGGAATCAGGGCATCAAGCCCGTCAGTCCCCCCATCTCAGCACTGGTCTGCATTGCAGTCGTGGGACAGAAGGTGCTGTCAAAGAGAACGTCCAACAAGCCACCTCATCCTGGCCTGTCCTGAGGGCCCCTTGCTGTCAACAGCGCTGTTGCTCTGCTCCTGGGTGTCCCCGCGTGGGCTGGGTGTGAAGAGGCCTCGCGAAGAGGCCTGCACCGTCTGGACCCTTCCACCTGGCCCCATGTCTGTCAGTGCTTTGAGGCGTGGGGCCTGTGTGTTGAAAATGCATTGAATGATATGTGTATACTCATCCTTTCATCTCATAATATTCATAATATTTTATTCTTACTCCTAGCTCAGGCAAGACACATTTTGTCGTCTGTTCAAGAATTCACAGCCACTCAGGACAGTTCCACAACTGTGAGTGAGGAGATCAGCTACCTGACTCTGGAAAATAAGTCCCTCTATGGCCACCTGGCCGAGCTGCAGCAACAGCACAGCGTGAGGATGCGCGAGGTGGTGTCGGAGCTCGGCGACACTCGGAGGGAGATGGTGAGCCGCCCCCGGTGTGCATCCCGTGAACTCACAGATGGGGTGGAAACGCCGCTTTGACGGTACAGGCGAGGGTAGCCGCTTGGCTCTGCACGTCCCCTTCCAGCTGGCTGCTGCAGCACAGGTCCCTCCTGCCCTTCCAGGACACAAACCCCCTCACCCCAGGCTGTCCCCCACCCCAGGGACTCCAGCTGCCCCTAGGGTGTTGCCTGACTGTGTCCCCCAAGACTGCACGTGACAGTGACCGCAGATAGCTGCTTCCTGCTCGTCTCTGCGCGGCCCCTCCTGGGCAGCGGCCATCTGTTCTGAGAGAGGCCAAGGGGAGAGGACAAAGGGTGGAGTTGAGCTTAAGGCGGAGCTTCTGTGGCCAGTGTTCCTCGGCCCAGGCTCCCCAGGCCACTGATGAGGAGGTCCACTTAGCTGCGTGGCCCTGGGTCCCTGCTGCCGTCCTGCCTGCACCAGCCAGCGGGGGACCCTTGGTGTCCTCTTGGCCCTGTGGGAACCTCGCCACCAGGTGGTGCCCAAGGGCAGCCGGAGCCAGCACCCTGGACTTGGTGGTGGAGCCGCATCCTGGCCAGGCAGGCGCCTCTCCAGGGCCGACACTCGTTAAGTGCCTGCCGTACAAAGAGGAGATCCCAAGTGAGCAACCTAGTGTCACGCCTTGAGGAAGTAGAGAAAAGAACAAACCAGAACCGTCGCAAACGGAAGGAAGGAAGTAACAAAGATCAGAGCAGAAGTCAATGGAGCAGGGAAACAACAGGAAGAAAAGCAGCTAGACCGAGTTGGGTTTTGAAAAGATACAAAGTCAGCAAACGCTTCCGAGGCCCAGAGGACAGACTCAAGACCAGAAACAGCACAGGAGACGCTGCGGTGGAGGACGCCTCCGAAGTGAGGAGGGCCAGAGGATGGTCACCTGTAGGCACGTGGAGAACCTAGAGAGACACGGGTAGATTCCTGGAAACACGCAGCCCACTGAGGCTGCGCGGAGAAGAACGAAGCCTGAACGGACAGAGCACGCTGGGAGACTGGGCAGCAGTCAGCCTCCCGCAGAGAGGCCCGGGGCCAGGTGGCTGCTGGCCTCGTTCTCCCAGACATCCGGAGGACTAGCACTCACTCTCCTCAAAGTTTCCCAGAAAGCAGCAGTAGAGGGGGCACTTGCAAACTCATTTTATAAAGTCAGCGTTATCCTGTCACCAAAGCCAGAGTTACCACAAGAAAAGAAACCTACAGGCCACTGCCTCCGGTGAGCAGAGACGTCAAGATGCTCCGCAGAGTGCTCGTGGACCAAGTTCAACAGCACGGCAGGAAGGCTGCGCACCGCCACCAGGTGGGGCTTCCCTGGAGCGCTGGCTGGTTGAACACGTGCAGGCGCATCCAGCACGTGGACCTGTGGAAGGATGGAAACCACACAGGCATCTCAACAGATGCAGCACAGCCATGCATGATTAAACCAGAAAACAACAAAGCAGGTGTAAAAGAAAATGTCCTCAACACGATAAAGGCCGTTTGTGAAGAGCCCTCGGCCAGCAGGGAGGAGGCTCCCTGGCGCGGCCTCGTTAGTGATGTGGGTGACACCAGAAACGCAGGCGACGGAAGCAGAAATAAACTAGTAGGACTGCATCGAAGTAGGACGCTCCTGCAGAGCCAAGGGAGCCGTGAACAAAACGAGAAGGCAGCCTGCAGATGGGGAGAAGATATTTGCAAAGCACGTGTCTGATAAAGAGTGTCCAGAATGTGCAAAGAACTCGGGCAACTCGAAAGAAAAAACAAGCGTGAACGGATAAAGAGCGTGTGGCGTGTGCCGGCGGGACGGATGTTCTCCGCTTCACGGGGAGGACATCCTGCCTCTGAGCAGCCCGGACGGACCTGGAAGGCCTGATGCCAAGTGCAGTGACTCAGGCGTGGCAAGGAGCAGACTCACAGGCACAGAGCAGGGCGGGGTCCCCAGCAGCGGGAGGTGGTTCTGCAGGCCTCGAGCATGGACCACACTTAGGGAGAGGCCCCGAGTCCAGGAACCTGCGGGAGGGCCAGACGTGCAGACGACAAGGTGCGCCTGAGCTTGACCGAGCGCCGGTCCCTCGGGTGTGTGCTGCGTGTCGCGTCAGCACGCACCTTGAATGCGCGCAGCCTGCGGCGTGAATACCTATGCGTGTGGTGGCTTGACATTTTTACTCCCTGATCACCGTGGTTGGGTTTTATTGTATGGAAACTATTTAGGGTGTTCTATTATTTTACTTTTATTTTTACTTCACAGCAAAAGTAAATCTGATTCACAGAAGTGTTGTTTCGTGGTGAGAACGCGCACGGCATCGGGGTTGGGCGCATGGGCTGCGGACTTCGGCTGCCTGGGTGTGGCTCTGGGCCCGAGGCCAGCACCACCCTGCTGAGCAGGCCTCCTGGTCTCTTGTGGCCCTCGAACCTCAGCGCCTCTCCACCCCGCCTTCCGCACGCTGCTGCCACCTGGCACCTGCCTGCGCTGCCCCCTTTGACCTTGTGCGCTCTCCTGCCTCATGAGACTCGGCGCAGCCACCCCACTTTCTTCCACTAGTATTTTTAGACCTTTTTCTGTCCTTCTAATTTACTGGTGCAGTTACATTTAAAGTGGGTTCCTTTTAGGCAGCATATAGCTGGATGTGTCCTTTCTGTAATTAACAATCTCTGCCTTTTATTTTCAGTAGCCTTTTAAGAAAATTAATTAAACTAAAAAAAAAGGTTCACCCATTTCTTTCTTCCTTAACCTCTGCCAACCACCTGTCTCTCCTTTGTATCCATGAGCTTGGTTTTGTTTTGTTTTCGATTCCACATGTGAATCTGATCATATGGTATTTGTCTTTCTCTGACTTACTTCACTTGGCTTAATATTCCAGGTCGAACCACGTTGCTGCAAATGGCATTATTTCACTCTTTAATGGCTGACAGGTATTCCATCGTATAAACACACAGCAGCCTCTTTATCCGGTCCTCTGTCGATGGACACTCGGGTTGCTTCCGTGTCTTGGCTCTTGCAAATAGTGCTGCTGTGAGCACTGGGGTGCACGTGTCTCTTTGAGTTAGGGTTTTGGTTTCCTCAGACAAGTACCCGGGAGTGGGGCTGCTGGGTCGTGTCGCAGTGCTGTCGTCGGGCTTCTGAGGAACCGCCAGACCGCTCTCCCCGGTGGCTGCAGGGCATGGGGCCCTCTTCTCTGCGCCCGCGCCAGCGTCCGTCACACAGGCCTCCGTGAGCACAGCCGCTCTGCCGGGCGTGAGGAGTCGTCGCGTCCTGGCTTTGCTTGCTGTCTAGTAGCGACGTCGGGCGTCTTTCATGTCCCCGTTGCCCGCCTGTATATTTTCTTTGGAAAAGTGTCTGTTCACATCCTCTGTCCGTTTTTAAATCAGATTGTTTGGCTTTGGCTGTGGAGTTGTGAGTTTCTTGCGTATCCTGGACAGTGGCTCCGCACCAGACAGGCAGTTTGCAGACAGCCCTCCCCGTCTGCAGGCTGCCTTTCGTTGTGTTGACAGTTTGGTTTGTGGTGCCGACACTTTCTGGTTTCTGTTGGGCTTCTGAGAGGATGCGCCGTGAGCTGCGCGGGTTCTTGCCCCTGGGTCGGGCTGTGTGTTGTGCGGAACGAGGCGCACGTGGAGCGATACGTGTTTACACCGAGTGGTCTTTCCGGGTCAGGCCTGGCGCAGCGGGGCTGCCACATCTGACTCGGGGCTCTGGGGCTGCCCAGGCTGTCGCTTGGGCAGCTGTGCACGCTCACCTCGTTGTCCTCGGCCGCATGCCACGTGGGAGGCCTTGCGACCTGGCAGCTGGTGAGGAGAGGCCCCCACAGGCTGTCGTCTGTAAAGTGGGAGTGAAAGGGGGACGAGGCTGAATGTTGGTGCTTGTGGTTTTGTCAGGAAAGAGGTCCCACGCAGGCTTCCTTTCAGAGAGAAGAATGACAGTGAATGAGTGGTCTGTGCAGCGGGGGTGCCAGTGCACACGAGGACTGCAGCCCCCGGCCTGGGCATGGTTGCATGCAACGCATCGTCCCCTGGGAGGTCCAGGACCACAGGTCCAGACAGATGGGTCCCTGATGCCGTCTGCACAGAAGTGTGGCCGTGGTGGGCAGTGTGAGTGGCTCTGTCCCACAGGGTGGCTGGGGGCCACGGGACTGGCCAGCCGAGAGGCCCTGCCATGGATGCAGTACAGAACCATCCCAGCCCCAGAGCCCTGCTCGGCACCTCCTCGGGTCTGCCCTTTGCGGGGACGCCCCTTAGTTCTGAGGGCCCGTCCTGTGAAGATGGGACTCCGTGGTTGTGCGTGTGTGCTGTGTCACGTTCGCGAGGCCCCGGTGCCCAGGGTGCTCTGGAGCCGTCCCAGTGTGGCTCTGAGCAGAAGTGGCCTGTCTGCTGCTGACCACCCTGCTTGGCTGAGATCTTCCTCAGGACCTCGGGCCCAGCCCCTGTCCCTTGGAACTCAGCACGTCCCTGGGAGACAGGCCGTCAGGTGGCACTGGCCAGGCAGACAAGGGTCGGTGAGCAGGTGGGGTGTCCTGTCGCCTCGAGGCTGAGAGGCTCACTTCTGGTGGAAGCCCTGTGCCTGTCGGGTGGCCTTGGTCCCCTCCTCTCACTCTGCTGTCCCATCAGCATCTGGGCGTCCCTTCATTCACCCAGGACAGGGGAGGAGCTTGGGCCGCAGCTCCCCGTGACGGCAGTGGCTGGTGTGAGCCCTGTGTGTGCAGCACGGGTGTGGAGGGCCCACCCTTGACCTGCTCCTGGGTGGGGAGGAGGTGCCAGGCCTGGCTGTGGCAGCCAGGGCCTTCCTAGAGGAGGTGGAGCTGAGGCAGCCACCCCTCTGAGGGTCCCCGAGCCCGGCCTGGGGCAGCATGTTGGCGGGGAGCGGTGCCGTGAGGCAGGCTGGCTGCCCTTCCCTCCAGTTTGGCCGTCGTGGTGTGTGAGTCCGTGAGCCCCCCCACCCCCCACCCCAGTGCTTTTGGTGGATTCGTTGTGCTTCTGTGAGGTGGACTGAGCTGCCCTGTCTGTTCTGTGCCGGGTCCGCAGGACCAGCTGAGGCAGCACCTGGACCGCGCGCTGGAGGAGAGCAGCAGCCTGAAGTCGCTCTTGCTCAGCGTGAAGGAGGTGGCGAGAAGCGCCGACCCACCTGCCGCGCTGAGCGTGCAGATCGCGGGTGAGTCGGGGGCGCCTGTGCGTGCTTCTCGGGTGCCAGAACCGCTCTGGGGCAGCGCGGGGAGGCGGTGGTGGCTGGGCTGCATGCTTCTCTGACCCCCGAGAGGCCCTTCTGCTCCTGCTCCTCCCGGACCCTGTCTTCACTGTCTGGGGTGACGTGGGGACACGTGGCCCCAGTGCTTCCTGCGTTCTTGCCTCTTGGGGACCTGAAAGACAGATGGTGAGTGTCTGGGGCAGGAGCACAGCCCCGCGAGCCCCTGTGCGGCCACCTGCCTGTCGGGTCCCCTCAGCCCCTCGCTGCCCCGTTGGCTGTTTCACTGAGTGCGAGAGTTCTTTCTGGCTTTCTTTCCCCGTTTCTTCACGACATTGTCTCTCGCGAAGTCGCTCTTTGTTGCTCGAGCCCTGCGGCTGCCTCTGGTTCTCTGATCCGGCTCTGGGCTTCTCTTGTTCCTGGTCTCGTTGAAGCGGTCGGTGGGGCCTGGTGTGTCCTGGGACTGGCTTCCATCGTCTGAAGGGCGCCCCGTGCTTGGTCCACACCGTGTGGGGCTGCCCTCGTCCTCGGCCTCCAGGAGCCCCAGATAAATGCAGCGCCCCCTGGGGTCATCCAGGCCCTGTCCCCCTCCTCCCTGCTGTCCTGTCCTGCTGGACCCAGCCCCTCACCAGCCTGTCTGCAGTGCGGCCCTGATCCAGGAGCCCTGGCGGGTGGGCCTCAAGGGGTCACCCTGCTCTCCCCTCATGAGAGGGGCCAAGCATGCCCCGTGACAGCACGGCTGCCCACTTGGCCTGAGGGGTTTCCTGTGACAGTGGGGACACTGGGCTCTCCGTCCTCAGGTCTGCCGGCCCCTGCTCCCCCACAGATGTGGACACCACGCAGGACTCGTGCCTGCCTCGTGTTTGGGGTCTTGAGGCCACCTTGTCACCAGGTGCTGGCCTGTCGTCAGCAGGGTTCTGCTCCTGGTGCCTGACTGACGTGGGGGCTCTGGGCGCCTCCCCCCGTGGGATGCCTGTCATCAGCCCTCAGGTGCGGGTTGGGGTGGGTGCAGACTCTCAGCAGTGTTTTCCCCGCTTAGCGCTTGGAGGACGTGCCCCGTGGCTGCTGAGGACCTGCTGTTGGTGTCAGGTCCCCTCCACCTGTGACCTCTCCCCGGCTTGTGTTGTTTCTGGTGTGGAGTTGTGCGGTGGCCTGTCTTCCTTCAGAGTTTTACGTGCCCAGCAGCCAACAAGTGTTTCTTCCCCTCTCAGTTGGAAACCCAGAGAGAGACAGGAGACATGTGGATGGGCCCAGGGGCCCCAGGGTCTTCTTACCGCCCCTCCCCAGAGCCGTGGGCCCTGTCAGGCTCTTCCTGGAGGCCTGGCTCCACCAGCAGGCAGATCCGGCTCAGGGACCTCCGGCGGGTGCCAGGCCCACCTCCACCCGCGTGCCCTCCCCGCGCCCCTCAGGGTGTCCGGAGGCAGAGTCCCATGGCTTTGCCCCGGGAGGGCTGGCGGGGGCTGCTGGCGGAGCAGCTGGCTGTGGAAAGGGGGGGATGGGGGCTTCCTGTTCGTGCCTGGTGCCCTTGCCAGTGTCCTTCCCTGCGCCCCAGGTGCCCTTTAGACTCTGGAATGGTTTCAGCTTTCAAGATGTGAGTGAATGTCACTGGACATCACTGTTGTCTCCCTGCAGGACTGCAGGCGGGTGTGAAGAGCCTGTCAGGGGAGGTGGTGGAGCTGAGGCAGCACCTGGAGCATGACGACAGGGTGCAGGAGCTCACGCAGCTGCTCCAGGAGAGCCACAGGTGCTCCCGGGCCCGCTGCCCCCAGCGAGGTGCCATCCGCTTGCCTGTGCCCCAGCCATGTTTGCGGGCCACCACAGGGCAGAGCCCCCGTTTATTCAGAGGCCTGTGTGCTGGGAAGTGGGTGGAGGCTGCAGAGGTTAAGCCGGCCTCGAGACGGGCTGTCTGGCTGGGGATGGGGTGCAGGCTTGGGAGCCCTGGTTCTGTGGCCTCAGCGGGAGGTGGGCCTGTGGGCAGCGCTCTGCCCCCCACCTCCCTTTCTCTCTTTTCTCCCCCCACACCCTCTCACTCTTGGAGCTGAGGCCACCACACCCGCCCTGGGGGGGTGGGTGCAGTCTGGGCACAGGCGAAGCCAGGCCATGACCTTACAGGGGTTGAAAGTCACCGCCCCTTGGGCCCCTCACAGCACAAGTGACAGAGGGAGGGGCTCCTGGGAGATGACAGCCAAGAGCCAGTCAGGGGAGGGGAGGGAGATGGGACACAGGCAGGGATGGGGGGGCCCCGTGGGCTTGATGTGGACAGGGCAGGGCTCAGAGACTCTGAGGGCAGCGGGTGGGTCCCCCTGGGGGCTCTGCCTGGCCCGGGCTATCCCGGTGGTCCCAGCAAACAGGGTTTGTCGCTGGGGAGACCCGCTCTGTGGACACAGTGGCCCTGCTTTGTCTGTCGCTGGTGATGCCATGCGTGTCCCTCAGCTCGTGCTGGCTGGGCCAGTGGGGCAGCCTGGCGAGGACAGGCTGGCAGAGGGCAGCACCACCCCACTCCTAACCCCCCTGCAGGGAAACACGGTTCACGGGCCGGGAAGTCAGAACTTCCAGTTATGCTGTTCCCGTGTCAGAATTACCAAGAGGCTCCTTTATGTTTGAGCAGGAAGTAGAAACAGTTCAGTCTCCAGACCTTTTCTAGAATTGGAACATTGTTTTCTTGCCATAAAGGCAAGAAGGCAGTGGTGTCCTTCTCAGGAAGCCCATGCTGGGCTGTCAGGGGCCTCGTGATTCCACGGTGCTGAGCCGCGCCTGGGGGTGTGTGATGAGCGGGCGGGGTCCCCGGGGGCTGAAGCGCTGCCCCCTGCCTCCCCCAGGTCCCTGGTCAGCACCAACGAGCGCCTCCTGCAGGAGCTGGGCCAGGTGCGGGCGCAGCACCAGGTGGAGGTGGAGCAGCTGCACTGGAGCTACAAGGAGCTCAAGAAGACCCTGGCCCTGTTCCCCGCCGGGGTCACCAGCCCAGGCCGACGCTAGCCCTGCGCTCCGTGCTGTGCCCGCAGTGCCTGAGCGCTTGGGGTGTGTTTGGGGCCTGTGGCTCGGTGCTCTGAAGCATCCTAAGAAGACAGGCTTAATCCAGGCCCTTCACGTTGAGACAGACAGATCAGTCGTTTTTCATCATGCAGCTTGAGATAAAAAATGCTGTATTTTTCTGCCTGATGTGCAAGAGAGCCACGTGGATGAGAACAAAAGAGCTCATATGGGACAAGCAGTTTTGTTTAATAAACTAACACGTCCTGAAAGGGCAGCTCCTTCATTGTGCCCGAGTGTCTGGTGGAATTCTTCTCCAACGTGCGTTGAGCACCGTGGCTGGTGAGCAGGGGCTCTGAGTCCCGAGACGTGATGAGGAGTAGCCGGTTGTGCAGAAGACTGTGGGTGGCGTCAGCGTCCCCGAGAGGGCTGTGTGCCCAGCCCCGCCCCTCTCTTCTTCGCGGTGCATTTCTTAAGTTACGTCCTCACCGGGCAGTGGGTTTCGGGAGCAGGCCGCTGGATGAGGGTGCTCTGGAGGCCGGTGGGGGGTGGGGTCCCTGGCCTCCCTGGTGTCCCTGCTGGTCACCTCAGTCATGGCAATGTTTTTGTAACTTTGCGGGGAAGTGTCATCCCAGTTGTGGCGGGGGTGGGGGTGGGAGGAGGTGGTGGGGGTGGGTTTTTTCATCATCAGATTTTTTTTTAACTTGCAGAGTTCCGTATTAATCCCTTTTAAGTTCATAGAAACGTAGCTGTTTGTTTCTCATTTGGGTTTTGTTGAGCTTCTTGGGCCCGAGTTTCTGTTTTTCATCAAATGTGGAAAAGTTCTGGCCACCATTTCTTTGTATTTCTTACGTGACCCAGTCTTCCTGCTCCCCCAGGACCCCAGTGGCACCGTCAGACCCCAGGACTGGTCCCCGCCCTGAACTGGGTCTTGTCCCCTTGGTTCTCGTGGCGCTTCGGGTCGGGCTGCCTCTTGTCGCCCTGCTGGAGTTGACTGGTCTTTGCTCCACACACCTGCTCTGCAGCTGGGCCTGTGCAGTGACCTTTAATTTCAGAAATGATACGTTCCTTGGTTCCAAAGTGATGTTTGCTGCTTTTCTGTCAGCTTTTATTTCCCATAATGTTCGTGTTTCATTTCACTTCTTAATTGTATTCCTAACGTCTTTACTACAGGTAACTTCAAGTCATCTGCAAAGCGGTGATACCAGCTAACCCTCCCACTGGCAGGTACGTGGGAGCGGGTACGTGGAGTTACCCGCTGTCTGCGCTTCCAGCACTGAGGGTCACGTTTTTCATCCAGAGGCACCTGCCCCTTGTGGCCTAGGGCTGAGCACCTGCTCAGTGTGTCGTCCGCCTGGGTTTCCCAGGCTCCTCTTCAGCTTTCCCCGTTTCCCCCGTGGATGCTGTTCCGTCCTTGTTTGCAGAGCTACTTATAATGCTGAATACTAGTGCTTTGTGGATTACATTTGCAAAGAGCTTCCCTCGTCTTCACATTTTAATCGTGTCTTGATGAAGAGAAAATTTTAATTTTAATAATAGTGTATCAGTCTTTTCCACGATTACTAAAGAATTTTAGCCTGAATTTTTGAAGATCTTTCTGTTTGTGGTCATCAAGGTATTCTGCCATGTTGTCTTCAGAAAGACTTTAGTTTTGTCTACTTCGAGTTTTAGGTGCACAGTCTGCTGGACTTGACTCCTGTGCGTGTTGTGAGGGCTCTGCCCCGTGACCTCCCCCTTCACTGATGAGCCTCTGTTGTCAGAGATGACGTGTGTCCCTGTCCGTCTCTGCAGGGCCACACTCTGCGGCTCGAGCCTCCCACCCCACGTCAGGATGTTTTGGCTGTTTTTGACCCTTTGCATTTCGTAAACTTCAGAATCAGCCGGCCAAGGTGGGATTTTGTTGGAGACCGCGTCGGTCAGTTCGGGAGGACCTGACTTAGCGGGGTTGCACGCGGCGTGACGGAGGGTCTGTTCCACGTGTTAGGTCTCCTTTCATGCCCACAGGTTGCAGCTTTATCATCATCTCCATGGGGGCTCGGGTACCTTTAGTATCTATTCCCGGGTTTTCCTTATTTTGTGATGCCATTTCTAAAAGATACATTTTTAAAAAATTGTTTGGATTTTGTTTTTCTATTTGTTCCTAATAATTCACATTTCTAATTATTGGTTGCTTTTATTTGGAAATATAATTGAATTTTTGTATGTTAATTTTGTATGCTGCAGTCCTGTTAAACTCTTAGTCTTAATACTTCGCCTGGAGCTACACGGGCCTTTGTAGGAGGTCGTGTTCCCTGTGAGTGATGTTTTCTGTGCAGCCCTTTACTCTGGGGGTTTATCTTCTCTTTTCGTTTTGTTCTGAGTTTTGCTTTTCCGCGCTGGCTGGCGCCTGCGGCACCATCGTGGATTATAGGTGGTGACAGAGTAGGTGTCTGTCTTATTCTGGGTGTGAAACCAAAGGGGAGCGTCCAGTCTCTCAGCACTGAATTTGCAGTAGGTTTCCTGCGGACGGCCTTCACCCTTCAGTTGTGAATTTGCTGAGAACTTGTCACCTGTGAATGGACACTCTTCTGCCACTACTGAGATGACTGTTTGGCTCTTCTCCTTCATTCTGTTCATGGGGCTAATCCCAGCACATCTCTGGGGCAGGCACCACTCAGGGAGGATGGAGCTCTCCTTGCAGACGTGCTGCTGCACCTGGTTTGGGGGCGCCTTGTGCAGGGTCCTGTGTCCCAGGTGTGCCGCTCCCTGCCTCCTTGCTGGAGGGCCTGCTCCCAGGCCGCAGTGAGGGTCGGGTGGCTTGTGACCGGGCAGTCCCGGGACGTGTTGGCTCTGGGGAGGAGCTCAAGGCTGTGTCTCCAGGGTCGCGGGCCCAGGATCCACCACTGATGCTGCTCTGGTCAGGTTCGTGCCATCACACTCCCTATCCCTCTGCTCCCTCGGAGAATCTGAAAGGTCCTAACTGTCCCTTCCCTGAGTGTTGGGTGGGGCATCTCAGGAAGTCACCTGGGCCTGGAGTTTGACTTCTGACTTGAGTCAGTTGAGTAGTGGTTCTGGGAGGACGTTCTCAGGGACCGTCTGCGTCCTCTCGACAGCTGGCTCAGGCCGTGTGACGGGTTCTGACCTCCAGCTACGAGGGAGGCAGGAGGGAAGAGCTGGTGGCCGTCCAGAAACTCCCTTTGCCAGCAGCCTGCGGCTGGTCACAGGCCCTGCTGACCCCTGGACTCCGAGCGAGTCGTCGGCGCCGTTGCCCAGGGGTTTGGGCTTCTCGGCTGAGGTTGGCAGTTCCTCAGCGGTGAGGACTGTGCGGCCTCCCCAGTCCTCCTGGAGTTCTGTGTCTCTAGGAGTTTGTTCACAATGCCTAATTTTCAGATGTTTGGCACAACACTCAATCTTTCAGTAGTGCTTTAATGGCTCCAGCATTTGCAGGTGTGTCCCTGTGGCAGGGACGTGGAGGGGGGTGTCAGGCTCTGCCTCGGCCCTGGAGCTGGGACCCTTGCCTGCTGCTGAGTGGGCAGGCCCAGGTCCCTCCCGCATCCTCAGGGACGGTGCCGGCCCCAACCCTCCTCGCCCAGCACCGCGGGGCCCAGCTCGCTCTCCGGTCTTCTTCCCCGTCGGGCTGGTCTCTCGCTTTTATCAGCTCATGTAATTGGTACACTTTGGTTCAAATCTGCCGTCTTATTTTGTGCTGTTTGTTCTGCTTCTGTGTTTTTTCTCTCTGTTGTTGCCACTTTTAACTATTTTCCGTCATCCGTGTTTTCACCTCTGCAAGCCTGAGTGTGAGAGCCCGGTTCCTGGTGTCACCTTCGCACCTGTCCTGTCCCGGCACGTGCACCTCCTGAGACCGTGCCCCACACGAGCACGAGGCCCCGGGCAGCCCTTCTGGCTGACGCGGTGGTTTTCACGTGCTGCAGCGAAAGGTGTTGTTTAGGTGAACGGTTGTCCCTGTTTGTTATCTACCGTTCACTGTTTGCACCACTCTCCTATTCACATCTCAGACTTCCCATCTGTCATCACCTGCTGCACTTAGCATTTCCTTCCTCAGCCTCTGGATGAAACTGCCCTGTTACGGTCTGAAAGACGCCCTCGTCCTGGTCATGTCTGTTGGCGTCATTCCTGTCTTTGGGGCTGTAGTGGGTGTTTGGGGCGTGGTTCACGTCCAGACCCCACTCCAGGCCTCCCCCTCTGCTGGGCACGTCCGTGTTAACGTGGGGCCCACGCGGCGGCCCAGGCACACAGCGCTTTTGGAGGACAGCAGACCCACGATTCAACACCTTTATTTGTCACTTGACCAGGCTGGCACAGTGTTAACCACGGGGCACGCGAGGGGTGGAGAGACACGAGCTGTTTGACTGCAGGTTCGCCAGCCAGGCCTGGGCAGCGGCTCTGAACAGGTGACCCTTTGCCGTGGCCCCACAGATGCCCCCAGGGTTCCCGGTGAGAGTGGGTCTGGGGCACAGCAGCCCGACATCAACACGGAGCGATGCCCTCGTCGCTCCCGAACAGTAAGAGAACAGTGCAAAAATAGATCGCATGTCTATACACACATTATTTCCCTTTCCTGAAAAACTGAGCACAAACAAGTAGCACAGGATCCCTCTCAGGTCGGGGTTACATGCGTTAACATCGTTTGGCTTGGCTTGGGGAAGAGTTGGTGCAGGGCGACCACCGTCTGGGGCCACCGCCAGCCACACGCCCACGGGCCAAGGCCACACCCCTGAACCATGGGATTTCAGTGTTCAGTAGTAGAGCAGTGAGGGAAGCTACTCAGGGTCAGACCTGAAGGGACGTTCTAGCCTTGTGACTTCACAGTACAGCTGAATTGTCAGCCTGCGCCGTACGGAACAGGGGATGACGGGTTCCCGCCTGCATGTGCTGCAGGACAGGGTGTGCCAGCTTGTGCAGGAGGAAGTGACTGGCTGGGTCCTCGGGGCTGGCCAGCACCAGCCGACTTCCTTGCGAAGGGCCAGGTGGTGTCTGTGCCTTAGGTTTTAGGTTTCGTGGGCCGAGGCGCCTGTGACTTACCCCCTCCCCATGGCCAACAGAGCTGCAGAAGCAGCCCCAGGCGATGAAGTGCCGGGGGTGGGGGGGCGTTCAGTGGTTATGACAGCCGGGGACTGAGCAGGCCCACGTTCGGGGCTGTGAGCCTCTGTCCGCTTGGTGCTTCAGGGGGCCGCCCGGCCTGCCCCGAGCGCCCAGCCGTGGGCGTGGGCAGCACAGGCAGGGACCCCTGCGTGCCTCTGCCTGACTCCATGGCACCTGCCTCAAACCTTAAGGCTGAGGGTCTTCGAGGT